CTTAATTTTTAGGTGTTTGTTTTTTTTTCTAAAAAAATTATGCGCGGTTGTTTAGAAATAATTGGGGGGGGGGGGGGGGGGGATTTTTTAAATAATTTTATAATAAGCTGCTAGTGGATTTACGAGGAGAAAATCAACTTTTGTTTATTTTTTTTCTCAGTGGTCTTACAGGGGGGGGGGGGGGAGATGCGGTTCTCAAGGGGTGGCTTTTTTTCCCAAATACAATTTAAATAGCCCTGCAAGGTAAAAAGTTGTGGAGTGGGGGGGGATTGAAAGATTACCGTTTCGTGTAGGTTTTTTAACAAAAATAAAGTCTGGCCTACATGGGTAGAGTGCGACACTAACCAGGACAACAGGTGGTTCCACCTCTGGAACCTGGGCACCTCCTGGGTCTACGGACTTACTTTAAGAACCGCTGCGGTGTAAACAATTAACGTTTAATGAAGCTTGTCATAGTGGAATCAACGTTATAGTTTAGTCTACACGATGCGCCAAAATTCCTGAAATTGATTCCTCTTTCCCCCTTTCCCCCTTCCTACATTGAAGAGATTATTAGCATTATTTAGATTACGCGCCGGTAAAGGGAGCCGACCCTAGCCCGACGATGTAAGCAGGATTCTCTCCCTTGTCTCACTTTGCAAGTGCCGAGACTTACCTCCCTTGCTCCAGACGGATTGATAAATCAATTTAAAAACGTAAAAACAAAATGCTCGTTTAATTTTCCGAATGTGTTTATTTATTTGAAGCGGTGGCGCCTCTCTATCCCTGATTTTGTTTGTGGTACGGGAGTTTAATGATGATTAAAGCCAGGAGCGTACCTGGGTCGGTCGCCGAGGTCTGTCTAGGATTTCTGCGCGCAGGATTAGATAGGAACTCACTTAACAAATTATGAATGAACTTTAGGAAGTCGGCGTTTGGTTTTTAATATTATTTATAGGCGTGTTTTGTTTTTTTTTAATTTAGTTTTTTGGAAAGTATGTTTTGTCTTTAATAGTTCTTACTCTTCTTTGTTTTGTTCTTTTTTTTTTCTAGTTCTATATTTTAAATCTTTTGTGTTGTAGTTGTTGTTGCTGTTGTTGTTGTGGGTTAAGTTGAAGAATTAGAAGAGCTTAGTACACGAAAAATGTCTCGGTCAAGATGCGGATGGTTGTTAAGATGGTTGACATCTTTATGGTCTGCTTGCTAGGGAGCTTGTGTTGGTCTTTAAAGATGTATTCGAAATGTTATGATCAGTTCTTCTTTTAAGAACCCCCCTCCCCACCCATTTCCCCGAAACAAAAAAGAAAAATATAATTTCTATAAAAAATTCCACTCCCCTATAACGTTTCAAGGTCCCACAGGTTTAAATAACCCCCCTTCCCCTCCCTTGGAAAAACAAATGTCAAAAAGAATTTACTGGTAATGATCTTTATGAAATTGGTTACCATCCGACAAATTATGTGCTATATCTGGAGTAAGTGTTAAGTTTAGGTAAACGTGGTTAAGATTTGCTTTACGTCTTCAGTTTACAGTTTGAGACTGAAGTAGGCCTATAAGTTGAAGAAAGTAGTCGTAAACATGCGCATCTTAAAGCACACAAACTCGACTCTTTTTTCACACGATATTAAACTGAGGAAAAAAACTTTACAACTTGGTAGTTCCAGCCTGCTCGATAGAACTATAAAATTACTTTCGTTAAAACCACACAGAAAAGCGTTGTGCTTCAACACAAATTTTCACGTAGCTCTTATCAAAACAACTACCTGATAAATGAACGCAATCATTCTCTACTTCTTCATTAGTATAAATATTATATCATAGTTTTGTTTTTGAGCAGTAGTAATAGCTTTTTTTTTATATAAAAAAATAGCTAAAGAAAAACCTTTCCCATCTCATCAATAGTCCATCATATTGTTAAATCATATGGGTAAAGGTCTCTGAAACAGGTGAACTCTACTCCACCTACCCCGTAAGGTTTGTAATGGGAATTTTTTTAATCATTGATAAAAATCATGTATCTACGCATTACATAGGGTATATCTTTTAGAAAATCATAATGAACAGATCGAACCTTCACAGGCTACAAATCAATCGACCCCCACGAGAGAGACACATCACGGATGACGTCATCGACCCGCCAGTCCCTGACGTAGATCCCCCGTCAACTTCCGGTTGTACAGCGACGCCAGACCATGGACGTTCCACGGCGGTTATTTATTTAAGTCGGCCCGGGTCTTACATTCCATTTACAATGCAGGTAGGCAGCGAAAGGAGACAGAAACAGCGTTTCTTTCAAACACTTACACCGTCTTACCTTCTTTTGTTTATTGGAGGTTGGGTTTTTTTTTTCCCCCTGTGTTGACATCATAATTTCTCATCGGAATTCCGGAGCCTGTGGCTGAATCACGGCGTCTAGCTCCGCTTTGAGGAAAACAGTGACATCACGTGATGAAGTGCGGGGTAACTTAGAACTAAAGGCGTGGTCGGGGCAACGAACCCAGCTGAGGGATATATTAATTTGCTGTTTTGAGAAATAAATATAATTAGAACTCCAGCATTTATTTATTTTTTTTTGGAATCAATGAAGTAAGAGTTCAGGCATTCGTTTTTAGTAGCTCAGAATGTTGAGGGGACACTATGTCGATTCCCTACTAGTACCGGGTACGCATTGGAGCTGTGTGGGCTCAGGGACGTGCATTAACGAGTCAGGACTATAGACATTGTTTTTTCATACAATGAGGAATAAAATAAAGAAAACAAAACGACAATGTTTTGAATGACGAAGTTTTTAGAATGCCAGCAATACAATCATCATCTTTTCCCGTTAGTGCCCAAGACACATGGGGCAGATGAAGTAGAGTTTATCTGCTTCAGAGAGCTCGGTGTATGATAGGATAGTGTCAGTAGCACAATATGTGATCTTATCGAGGTGTTTTTTCTGAGGGTTTTTTAGTTTGGATTAGTGATTTAATGGGTGCTAGGTTTCGGTAGCGTAGCGAGGGGAGGGGGGGCGGGGGGGGGGGACATATGTCCCCGGGCGCCGACCTTAGGGGGCGCCAAAATGGGTTGGAAAAATAAATTGAAAGGTTGAGGGGGGTGCAAATCGAAAGTTTGAGGGGGGGTGCAAATGGAAATCTCTAGGGGGGGCGGGTGCAAATCGAAAGTTTGAGGGGGGGGGGGTGCAAATCGAAATCTCGAAGGGGGGTGCAAATCGAAAAGTTTGTCCCCGGGCGCCGGGAAGGGTCGCTACGCCTCTGCTAGGTTCAAAACTAGATATGACACGAAATGACATGGTTGTTGAAAACCCGAAAGTTTGAAGTTTGTGTCGAGAGTTAGGCGGACGTCAGGGAGCTCATGTTTTGATGCGTACTTGATACGTTAAGGGGAAATAAGCAGCAAGGCATGCAACTGACCATAGCATCCGAGGTCACGGAGATAGCTAACTCTAATTCATCTACCCCTACATTCTGTTATATCTGTAAGGTCACTTTGCTTTTACTTAAGTACAAGATTACTTTTTGTATTAGTTTTTTGTCCAGACATGCTTAGTGTGAAAAACATAGGTTTAATACTTCTTACTTCGATAAATTTTCAAATCGCCAATTTAATCTTAAGTCAATTGATTAACATAATCAGCTTACATTTAACAATTGTTTTTCAGATGTCGATAATCTGTGCAGCTTTGCTTGTCTTCACTGTTCGTCTGCTACAAACAACAATGGCCGCAGGTAGGTAGATTGGAACTCAGGCACTGTCTAGTAATAGTCGGTGGTTGAGTGTGATAGCACACAAATTCTAACCGAAAAGTGTCGACTGTTAAAAGAACATCGAGGGGACTGACATACATATACATATACATACATATATATATATATATATATATATATATATATATATATATATATATATATATATATATATATATATATATATATATATCCCCGTTTTCTATTGATGTGATCTTGGGTAGGGTCTGGTAACTGTTGTCAGTGTGAAGGATAAAATTATTGACTACCCTCTCACAGATTCCTGTGTCCTTGGGGATCAGCGCTACAGGGTGGGGGAGACGTGGCACCCCCAGCTCAACCAGTTTGGGGAGAACTCACACTGCATCAACTGCTCATGTCTGGAGGTGAGGTTTTATATGAGTTTAATGTTTGGTGTACATACACATCGACATTCAGCAACTTGGACATTTTAAACTTTGGACTTTCAACAACTTGGACATTTTAAACTCTGGACTTTCAGCGTTTTTTACATTCAACAATTTGTACTTTCAACAACTCGGTGATGTAACTAATCGGTCATTTAACACGTCGGACATTCAACAATTAGGACATTTAACAATTTGGGCATTCAACAACTTGGACATTCAACAACTTGGACATACAAAAACTTGGACATTCAACAACTCAGACATTCAACAACTTGGACATTTAACAATTTGGACAATCATCAACTTGGACATTCAACAACTTGGACATTCAACAACTTGGACATTCAACAACTTGGACATTCACCGACTTGGACATTCACCGACTTGGACATTCAACAACTTGGACATTCAACAACTTGGACATACAACAACTTGGACATTCAACAACTTGAACATTCAACAACTTGGACATTCAACAACTTGGACATTCAACAACTTGGACATTTAACATCTTGGACATTTAACATCTTGGACATTCAACAACTTGGACATTCAAAAATTGGGACATTCACCAACTCAGACATTCACCAACTCAGACATTCACCAACTCAGACATTCACCAACTCAGACATTCACCAACTCAGACATTCACCAACTCAGACATTCACCAACTCAGACATTCACCAACTCAGACATTCACCAACTCAGACATTCACCAACTCAGACATTCACCAACTCAGACATTCACCAACTCAGACATTCACCAACTCAGACATTCACCAACTCAGACATTCACCAACTCAGACATTCACCAACTCAGACATTCACCAACTCAGACATTCACCAACTCAGACATTCACCAACTCAGACATTCACCAACTCAGACATTCACCATACTTCTACGTCCAGTAATACAGCAACCTAATGAGACCGCAATGGTTTAAAACATCTTCAAATAATTCTATTTAAACATTAAGACCATAAAATCAACTTTAACCCTTAAGTAACCATCATAAAATCAACTTTAACCCTTGAATAACCATCATAAAACCAACTTTAACCCTTGAATAACCATCATAAAATCAACTTTAACCCTTAAATAACCATCATAAAATCAACTTTAACCCTTGAATAAGCATCATAAAACCAACTTTAACCCTCGTGTTCCCATCATAAAACCAACTTTAACCCTCGTGTTCCCATCATAAAATCAACTTTAACCCTCGTGTTCCCATCATAAAATCAACTTTAACCCTCGTGTTCCCATCATAAAATCAACTTTAACCCTCGTGTTCCCATCATAAAATCAACTTTAACCCTCGTGTTCCCATCATAAAACCAACTTTAACCCTCGTGTAACCATCACAAAATCAACTTTAACCCTTGAATAACCACCATAAAACCAACTTTAACCCTTTTCCACCCAGGGTGGAGAGCTACACTGCGTACACCCCGAGTGCCCCAAACCTACTTGTGACGAGCCAAGAATCATCAAGGGCCAGTGTTGTCAGACATGTGACGAATGTAAGTCTCATCCACTAATCCACATCCACCAATCCACCAACCCACCCTCCACCAATCCACACATCCACCCCTTTACTTAGCTGTAACTGTCCTCTCATGTCCTGTCTCTTTAATCTCCCTCCACCTCTGTCCCACCCTCCTCCTATGATAATCCTGCTTTAAACATCGCTTTACGTGTGCATGCGCAAACAATCATTAGATTGGTTTGTTGATTGTCATGTCCTAGCTTTTGTTGATTGTCCTGTTGTGTGTCCTGTTCTGGCATGTTAATTGTCCCGTTGTGTGTCCTAGCATGTTATATGTCCCGTCTACGCATGTTGAATGTCCTGTTGAATGTCCTGTCATTGTTTGGTTAATGTCCTACTATTTGTCATGTCCTCGTTTGTTGAATTTCCTGTTGTATGTCCTGTCCTCGTTTGTTGAATGTCCTCTTGAATGTCCTGTCCTTGCATGTTGAATCTCCTGTTGTATGTCCTGTCCACGCATGTTGAATGTCCTGTCCACGCATATTGAATCTCCTGTTGTATGTCCTGTCCACGCATGTTGAATGTCCTGTTGTATGTCCTGTCCTCGTTTGTTGAATGTCCTCTTGAATGTCCTGTCCTTGCATGTTGAATCTCCTGTTGTATGTCCTGTCCACGCATGTTGAATGTCCTGTCCACGCATATTGAATCTCCTGTTGTATGTCCTGTCCACGCATGTTGAATGTCCTGTTGTATGTCCTGTCCTCGTTTGTTGAATGTCCTCTTGAATGTCCTGTCCTTGCATGTTGAATCTCCTGTTGTATGTCCTGTCCACGCATGTTGAATGTCCTGTCCACGCATATTGAATCTCCTGTTGTATGTCCTGTCCACGCATGTTAAATGTCCTGTTGTATGTCCTGTCCACGCATGTTGATGATACCCTAGCTCTAGCCGCTTGCTCCTACGTTATCTTGTATCAGATCTTGACAACCTTCCACCCACAGTCGGGCCGGACAGCCCAGTCAGAGAGGGCCCCAAACCGTCGGGCTGTGACCTTGAGTGGGGTCACTACGACCACCTGGACGTCTTCCCGTCCAATCGGACGGCGCTCAAGCCCAAGCCTGGCCAGTGCGTGCTGTGTCTGTGTTACGTAAGTCAAGTGATCGATCTTTTTTTCTTATTACCCGAAATCGATAAGTGTTACGTAATTAGTGATGATCGATTTGCGCTATGTACATACCCTTGATTGAACGGTGTTATATACGTAATCGTCTTCGATGTATGTTATAAGTACTAGAGATCGATCTATAATCGCTCAATCGAACATTGATAAGTGTAGCTCAACGATTTAATCGACGTCTATGGGACGGAGTGGCCTAGCGGTAGAGAGCTAGACTGCTAATCCGTAAGTTCGAATCCTGGTTTCAGCCAGTAGACCGTCGGTGAGTCTACCCAGCCCCTGATGGGTACCTAACTCCTAGATTACAACAGCAGGTGAACTTAACTTCACTTGCCCCATAGACCGTAAGGTTTGGAAGGGGACCTTTACTTTTTAACTGGGTAGTGTTTAGGTGAGTTTGCTTCCCGTAGAGAAGAGACCCTTTGCGGCCCGAGCATGACCTCGGTTTGAAGGAGAAAAGTGAGGTCAGTTTGTTCAGTCCCCATTACGTTCCTTTAGGTCGGGTACCCATTAGAACTGATTGAACTCGGGTACCCATTAGAACTGATTGAACTCGGGTACCCATTAGAACTGATTGAACTCGGGTACCCATTAGAACTGATTGAACTCAGGGATATTCCATGGGTTCCACAACACTTAACATACACACAGGGTGTCAGAATTCATTGTATCGGACGTGGCTTAAGAGTTATAAAACGAAGTAGGCCGACCATGAATCAGGGTTTAAATCTAAACTTCTGGGTTTTTCTACTAAGAATTCAGGGTTTTGCTTCATTTTTTCAGGGTTTGACACGTCATTGTCATGGTTTAGGGCAGAAATCGTTAGCTCTAAAAATGAATGCGTTCAATATTATTCGCAAGACTTTTTCTTTATTTATAAATCTACCATTCCATCATTGAAGGTAGGAGGGGCCAAAAAAAACATTCTATGGGGGGAAAAAAACATTAAAAGACATTTGCTGACACTTAACAACTGACCTAATCTCCCACTAAAAGTGGGGTTCCCATATTCTCCCCTCACCCCACCACACACCACACACACACACACACACACACACACACACACACACATCCACACAACAATGTGGTCTTGCGGTGATAGGTGACAGGAAAACAAGAACAGAAAAACCCGATTAGCCGAGGCTTTAGTCTTGCTGTTTACCTGTGCCGGTATTTAAGAAAAAAAAATTGGGTCTTGCTGGGACGTTCCTTTTATTTTTATTTCATTATCTTTTTGTTGACAAACCCAACAAATACACATAAAATATTATTTAACGTTCAAATTTTTTTAAAAAAGAGAAACAACTCATGGTCGTATAATTATGTTTTCGTTTAATATGATTACTTCCCTTCGTTACTTTTTTTTTTTAAATTGTAAACTTAGATTTATTAACGTTAACGCGATTTAGATTTTTAAAAAGTTTTGTTGGTCGGTTAAAAGAAATAATAGTTGTATATTATAAAGTTGTAAAGTAAAGTACTGACCTTTGACCTTTGTATCCGCAGGATTCCAAGTTGATCTGCCATTTAAAAACGTGCCAGCCGACGTTAAAGTGTCCGAACCTGGTCGAGATGGACGACGATTGCTGCATGCACTGTGACGTCACAGACGCAGGTAATCATGGCGCTCACACACCTGGGTGTTTACTTCCTGTGTGCGTGGTGTGTAGCTCTGACACGGCAATAGCTGCACGCTCATTCTAACTATGACTATAGACACATTAGTGCTGGATATACTCTAGTGCTACAGACACACTACTGCTAGACATACGCTAGTGCTACAGAATCGTTAGAGCTAGATACACTCTAGTGTATAGACCAGCTAGTGCTACAGACACGCTAGTACTACCTACACGCTAGTGCTATAGACACGCTAGTGCTACAGACACGATAGTGCTACATATACGCTTGTTCTATAGACACGCTAGTGCTACAGACACGCTAGTGCTATAGACGAAAGTACTACGGACACACTTGTGCTACAGACACGTTAGTGCTAAATACAAACTAGTGCTAGTTACAAGCTAGTGCTACAGACACACTGTTGCTACAGAAAGTACTACAAACACACTTGTCATAGATACACGCTAATGCTACAGACACGCGTGTGCTACATACACGATAGTACTACAGATTCGCTATTAAGGTTTTATTTGTCTGTAGTGCTACTTACACGAAAGTTATACATCACTGCTACCCGATCATCATCAAGATACACCAGCGGTCGGCAACCTTTTGAAGCGGAAGAGCCAAAAGTTATAATTTTCAAAATTTCCCTGGTTTTAAAGAGCCACTAACATTTTTTAATTTCAAATATTTAATTTGTTTATTAAGATTATTAGTATTTGTTCAAGGAGCTGGAGAGCCGCATCTTGAGATCAAGGGAGCCGCATATGCGGCTCGCGAGCCACATGCGGCTCGCGAGCCGCAGGTTGCCGACCCCTGAGATACACACATAAGTGCTACCCATCTTGAATGTCATTCTCATCGATAAAAATAACTTTACATGATGACATACGACTATACCACCATTAATTAAAAGCAGCCATTTTAATTATTAAAATTAACATCTATACATTAGCATGGTGTTTACTTTTTGTTTTAGAATTAGTGTTATTTACCTAACTTAATTTGCTAAGTAATACATAATAGAAAATATTAAAACGTGTTACACGTTTAGTGATACATTTTATTGTTGATTTTTTTTTTCCGGCAGGTACCCCAGGAAACTCTGCAAAAACAAAACAATCCTCAGGAGGTAGGTTTTCTCCCTTGAATAATTTACTCAAAAGCTGGGATGGGTTTTGTCCCTTGAATATTTTACCCAAATGCTGGGGTATGTTTTGTCCCTTGAATATTTTACTCAAACGCTGGGGTAGGTTCTCTCCCTTACAATTATTCGTTGGATGGGGTGGAATGGGACATACCTAATTAGGCTACACATGCAAGGCGCCGCGCGGGGTAGCCCATCCCCACCTCCATGAGCTAACCCTACAGTTTCCCCCCCCCCCCCCCCCCACACACACACACAACCACACACGTGATTCCCCCTCACCTCAACTGACCACTCGTACTCGTCCACAGATTGTGTATCGTCGACCTCTGAGGTCCACGCCAATGGCAGCACGTGGAACCCTGTTATCTTCTCCTTCGGTGAGGTCAAGTGTGTCCAATGTCGGTGTTTGGTGAGTCATCATATTACGTCACAGTGACTCTCGTAAAGGCTGAGCGGGGGGGGGGGGGGAGGTCAAGTGTGTCCAATGTCGGTGTTTGGTGAGTCATCATATTACGTCACAGTGACTCTCGTAAAGGCTGAGCGGGGGGGGGGGGGGGGGAGGTCAAGTGTGTCCAATGTCGGTGTTTGGTGAGTCATCATATTACGTCACAGTGACTCTCGTAAAGGCTGAGCGGGGGGGGGGAGGTCAAGTGTGTCCAATGTCGGTGTTTGGTGAGTCATCATATTACGTCACAGTGACTCTCGTAAAGGCTGAGCGGGGGGGGGGGGAGGTCAAGTGTGTCCAATGTCGGTGTTTGGTGAGTCATCATATTACGTCACAGTGACTCTCGTAAAGGCTGAGCGGGGGGGGGGAGGTCAAGTGTGTCCAATGTCGGTGTTTGGTGAGTCATCATATTACGTCACAGTGGCTCTCGTAAAGGCTGAGCGGGGGGGGGAGGTCAAGTGTGTCCAATGTCGGTGTTTGGTGAGTCATCATATTACGTCACAGTGACTCTCGTAAAGGCTGAGCGGGGGGGGGGGAGGTCAAGTGTGTCCAATGTCGGTGTTTGGTGAGTCATCATATTACGTCACAGTGACTCTCGTAAAGGCTGAGTGGGGGGAGGGGGAGGTCAAGTGTGTCCAATGTCGGTGTTTGGTGAGTCATCATTTTACGTCACAGTGACTCTCGTAAAGGCTGAGCGGGGGGGGGGGGGAGGTCAAGTGTGTCCAATGTCGGTGTTTGGTGAGTCATCATATTACGTCACAGTGTCTCTCGTAAAGGCTGAGTGGGGGGAGGGGGAGGTCAAGTGTGTCCAATGTCGGTGTTTGGTGAGTCATCATTTTACGTCACAGTGACTCTCGTAAAGGCTGAGCGGGGGGGGGGGGAGGTCAAGTGTGTCCAATGTCGGTGTTTGGTGAGTCATCATATTACGTCACAGTGTCTCTCGTAAAGGCTGAGCGGGGGGGGGGAGGTCAAGTGTGTCCAATGTCGGTGTTTGGTGAGTCATCATATTACGTCACAGTGTCTCTCGTAAAGGCTGAGCGGGGGGGGGGAGGTCAAGTGTGTCCAATGTCGGTGTTTGGTGAGTCATCATATTACGTCACAGTGACTCTCGTAAAGGCTGAGCGGGGGGGGGGGTGGTCAAGTGTGTCCAATGTCGGTGTTTGGTGAGTCATCATATTACGTCACAGTGACTCTCGTAAAGGCTGAGCGGGGGGGGGGGGAGGTCAAGTGTGTCCAATGTCGGTGTTTGGTGAGTCATCATATTACGTCACAGTGACTCTCGTAAAGGCTGAGTGGGGGGAGGGGGAGGTCAAGTGTGTCCAATGTCGGTGTTTGGTGAGTCATCATTTTACGTCACAGTGACTCTCGTAAAGGCTGAGCGGGGGGGGGGGGAGGTCAAGTGTGTCCAATGTCGGTGTTTGGTGAGTCATCATATTACGTCACAGTGTCTCTCGTAAAGGCTGAGTGGGGGGAGGGGGAGGTCAAGTGTGTCCAATGTCGGTGTTTGGTGAGTCATCATTTTACGTCACAGTGACTCTCGTAAAGGCTGAGCGGGGGGGGGGGGGAGGTCAAGTGTGTCCAATGTCGGTGTTTGGTGAGTCATCATATTACGTCACAGTGTCTCTCGTAAAGGCTGAGCGGGGGGGGGGGAGGTCAAGTGTGTCCAATGTCGGTGTTTGGTGAGTCATCATATTACGTCACAGTGTCTCTCGTAAAGGCTGAGCGGGGGGGGGGAGGTCAAGTGTGTCCAATGTCGGTGTTTGGTGAGTCATCATATTACGTCACAGTGACTCTCGTAAAGGCTGAGCGGGGGGGGGGAGGTCAAGTGTGTCCAATGTCGGTGTTTGGTGAGTCATCATATTACGTCACAGTGACTCTCGTAAAGGCTGAGCGGGGGGGGGGGGGAGGTCAAGTGTGTCCAATGTCGGTGTTTGGTGAGTCATCATATTACGTCACAGTGACTCTCGTAAAGGCTGAGCGGGGGGGGGGGGAGGTCAAGTGTGTCCAATGTCGGTGTTTGGTGAGTCATCATATTACGTCACACAATGACGCTCGTAAAGGCTGAAGGGGGGGGGGGGGGAGGTCAAGTGTGTCCAATGTCGGTGTTTGGTGAGTCATCATATTACGTCACAGTGACTCTCGTAAAGGCTGAATTGGGGGGTGGGGGAAAGAGCAAGTGAATGTCGAAATATAAATCATGCGGTGATGTTGCAACCAGGGGCGTAGCGAGGGGGGCAGGGTGGGGCGGGGGGTGCGGACCGCACCGAGTGACACCATTTAGGGGGGTGACACCAAGGCAAAAAATAGCAAAATATATAGAGAAAAACTTGAGGGGTTGGGGTGCAAATCGAAAACTTGAGGGGGGAGGGGGGTGCAAATCGAAAGTTTGAGGGGAGGGGTGCAAATCGAAAATGTGAAAGTTTGTCCCCGGGAAGAGTCGCTACGCCTCTGGGGGGGGGGGGGGGGGGTGACACCATTAAGTGCCGCACCGGGTGACACCCGACCTCGCTACGCCACTGGTTGCAACAGTACCAAGTGTGATTTTTTTTTGGTGTTACCAGGGGCTGTCTGCACCCTTGCACCCCCGAGTAACGCCAATGACGACCACAGTTATATTTAACAGTAATTATACAGCACACTACACTATCACCAATGTGATCCCAAGTTTGGAAAAATAAATCTACACTAAACTCAGTCTAAACATGACTGTCTTAAACATTACACCTAATACAGCCGCTGCATAAAGACATGTAATTCTTTTTTTTTTTTAAGCCATTACAACCTGTTGATTTAACCAGTGGCGTAGCCAGGATCGTCTCAAGGGGGGGGGGGGGTTCCAATTTTTACCCGGGGACAAACTTTCGATTTGCACCACCCACCCCCTCAAACTTTCGATTTGCACCCCCTCCCCCTCAAACTTTCGATTTGCACCCCCCTCATACTTTTTATATATATACCGAGGGGTCTATGGGGGGGGGGGGGGTATGACCCCCCTAACCCCCCTTGCCTACGCCACTGGATTTAACTTGACCTGTATGACCTTAACCTGTTAACCTTGCTCTTGTCCAGAACGGGATCATCGACTGCTACAGACTGCAGTGCCCAGAGGAATCGACCCTAAAGTGCGATAATCCCCAGCCCGACCCAGACGGGTGCTGTAAGGAGTGCCCCACGGAGAAGCATCGCCAGGTCAAAGGTAAAGTTCTGGAAAATGTTTCCACTTTTCCGTTACGTGGTACCAAACGGTTATTTTCTAGACATTTCTAGTTGTCGTCGTGAATATTGGTAGTTTTGGTGAAAAATTGGTTATGATTTGTTGATGTTTGGGTTAGGGGGCGCCAAAATGGGTCGGAAAAAACAAATTAAAATCTCATTTTTGCTGCTTTTTTGCATTATAAATATAAAAAGTATAATGGGGGGGGGGGGTGCATATTGGAAGTTTGAGAGGGGGGGTGCAAATGGAAAATTGAAATTGAAAGGTTGTTCCCGAGGAGGGCTCCAAATTGAAAGTTTTTCCCCGGGCGCCGGGAAGGGTCGCTGCGCCTCTGGATCAGCTTGATATCCAACGAAAAAGATGAGAAATTTTAACTGGCGTAAACTATCCTAAAATTGTAAAGCGTGAGTAGGGGCAGTGGAATAGAACATAATCTCCCTAACAACAATGAGCCGAACCCAAATTGACATGTAGAAGTAATCGGTATGTTTTAGGTCAGGGTGGACTTATGGGAAAAGTGAGGCGTTTGGCCCAGGCTAGGATTTTATTTAGATTTCAGCTTAGGGTTGGATTTATATATATATATATATATATATATATATATATATATATATATATATATATATATATATATATATATATATATATATATATATATATATATATGAATGTCTAGCTAACCAGTGAAACCTGATTCTTACAATATATTTATTTTTAATTTATCTTCTTCCCTTTTTACCAAAGACACACAGGGCAGATAAAGATAAATTACTTAAATGATCTCGGAACACGTGGGAATCATGTGTACAGCCGCCTTTACTTTTCTTAACGTGAGTCAGGTACTAGAAAGAGCTGGGTGAACTCACGGTCGTCCTACAGACACGAGCCCTGGATCCGAACTCGAGACTTTGTAGCTAGGAGAGATGGGGAAGGGTGTTGGAGTGGAGGGGGAATCACGTTGTTCCATTACTCCAGTATCAACGCACGCTGTTCTCGACGTTTTTTTTTTTTTTTTGTCTCCGTTCTATGACTGGCCGTACTGAATCAGACCGGTTCCAAGCGGCCTTCAGTGCCAGGGCCCATTACCGGAAACAGATAATAAACATCTGGGGTGAACTCATTTCCGGTGCTGACGTGTAATTTGTTTTGCATGTAGGGAACCGCGGGGGGGGGGGGGGGGGGGGGAAGGAGGAATTCACAGTAGAACCTACACCATCTTGTAATTAACTTGAAGTGTTTATTAAAGGGAGACTAGTGTTTTATCTGTGCTTCATATTTTTGATAAGATGAAGTGGATGTAATCCGGGTTTATAAAAAAAACAATTTTTTCAATATTTAATTTAAACTGTTATCTCCCTTATTTCGTTTAATTACAGTATCGCCTGTGGGCTAGTTAGAATACTCACTATTTTATCTAGAAATGTCCGAATTAATTTGAAATAATTTTGCGTGTGTATTTTTAAAGATAAATCGAAACAGTTTATTTGTTTATGTTTTAATTGTCTTTATTTCAATTATCAGACGGTAAAATAAGGAAGGGAGCGAACAAGAAAAAGCCCACTAAAGGGTCGAGCAAGCCCATCTTCAGTACTAGTATGAGCTTGAATGACGTCATCGGTAAACTGTGCCTACCCAAGGGAGCTGAACGTGTTGTGTACTACACAAAGGGGGATAATTTTCTTACGCTGGCCTTTGATGACCCGAAGAAAAATTTGATTGAACAGATGCATTGGGTGATTAAAAGAGGTTGGTGATTAGGATTTGTGGGGGGGGGGGGGGGGGAGGGGGGGTAGTGGACAGGGTTAGGGGTTGAGTGGACAGAGTTAGGGTTAGAGTTTATTGGTTGAGAGGTTAGTGGTTAGTGGTTAGGGTTGGAGGGGGGGGGTGTTAGTGGATAGGGTTGGGTTGGGCTTAGGGAGGGTTGAGGGGCTAGTACATTGGGTTAGGGACTATTGGTTGAGGGTAAGGGTTTGTGGATAGGGTTGGGTTTAGGGGATATGGGTTGAGGGGCTAGCAGACTGGGTTGGTTTTAGGGGCTAGGAGTTGGGATAGTGGATGGAGTAGGGATGGTGGTTAGGGTTAGTGGGTAGGATTTAGTGGTTGGGGGTTAGGATTATTGGGTTGAGTTTGTAATTAGGGTTTGTGGTAACGGCTGGTAACTAATTTCATCGTGTTTTCATTTTGGTTGCAGGTCGGGTTCAAAGTTCAGTGAACAAAAAGGTTACTGACACGGTCGGGTACCGCAAGAAAACGACGGTCGCCGACATACTTGGTGTTATAGACAAAAGTAAGTTCTGCCTTGTTTCATCCAGTAGGTTTTGTTCGGGTTAGGGTGAGTGTTCATACTTAACAACTCACCGTACGGATTTAAACTAGGCCATCTAGATGAAAAACGGTGCTGAACATTTGAGCTGACAAAGCCTGGTGGTCTGATTCTTGATTAGATCTAGTTTGAACTGGATTTAGATAAAAAGTTAGGGGTAGATAAAAAGAAAAAAAGAAATCTAAATTCTTGTCGAATTTAAAAGCGTATTTTTCCCCAGATGTAATTACATTCCAGAGCTTATCGCTTAGATAATGTGAAAATTAGTCGTGTTGGTGCAGTTTTTAATGACATTGAAATTACCTGTTTGTTTAATTTAATTTAGTTAGGTATGACCCTTACCAAAAATAATGAAGTAGTTTTTGTTCTCATAGTCAAATACAAATTTATTCTATGATAAAATAAGACTACAAATTTTCCGGATTCACAATTTGATATTGTTTATTTAGGTCTCAACATTCTTTTTTGTGCTCTTTGCGATTACTGATCTACCAGCATCTCCTTATGTGGAGCTAGTACATGGGTGACTTGCATGGGTCACTGTTGGGCTAGTGCATGAATGACTTGCATGGGTCACTGTTGGGCTAGTGCATGGGTGACTTGCATGGGTCACTGTTGGGCTAGTGCATGGGTCACTGTTGGGCCGGTGTATAGGTCACTGTTGACAAGGTGTATGGGTCACTTCATGGGTCACTTTTGACCCGGTGCATGGGTCACTTACATCGGTCACTGTTGACCCGGTGTATGGGTCACTGTTGGGCCGGTGCATGGGTCACTTTTGACCCGGTGCATGGGTCACTTACATGGTCACTGTTGAACCGGTGCATGGGTCACTGCTGATCCGGTGCTCCTGTCACTATTCTGACGTCACACAAGTGACTCTGCTATCAGTTTAAAACTTTAAAACACACCATACACATAACCATAATATTTATCTCGCAGGGTCATTCTTAGGTCAATTGTCACGCGTTCTAAAAATAGATTGGCTAGACGAAAAGTGCGTTGAATATCGAACTTTCTTATCAAGAAGTAAGAAATAATTGCGATAAATTATACCGATCGTTTAAAAAAATATCGACGGTAATATCTTATCAACACTTAAAGTTAATGTGTGGTTTACAGTAGAACTTAACACAACAAGGGGTAAAGTCCACGGCTTCCAAATATCAAAACAGTGTGTTGATTCAAAGATTGAGATTTACAGCAAATCAAGTTGATAGTTTCTTATCGTAAGCTTGGAGTTGTAGGGCAGTTAGCTTAATATTTCTTATGGTTGGTTATTGTTATTAGTGTCTAGGTTTATTTAAGTGCTCTTGTTCTAATGAGCGGATGACTTGGAGGGGGGGGGGGGGGGGGGTGTTAGGAGATGGAGTTTGATGTCGGGGACGAGCAGAAGGGGTGGGGGGGGGGTGTAAAGTGGGGTGGGGGGCTAGAAATCGACCCCAAAAAAAGTGTGACGTAATTTAATACACTTGCTGTTTACATTGCGAGTAAGTTTCTGAAGTGTGTACACTCAATGCCTGACTTTACTTTCATAAGGGTTATATCTAGTAACATTCAAAACCGCTAGAGTGTTCTATAGATTCTAGACGAAAAAAAAATTCATCGTTGCTATGGATCTTCTTCTTCAAGCTTCTTCCAGGTTCATGAAGATCGTATTTCAAAGACGGCACTTTGCCAACAAACTCGATAAGTGAATACTTTTTAAAAATCTCGAGCCATAGCAAACCAATCTTCCCCATCTCTCTTTCACCGTAGTGACGCGTTTTGTTTTATCTCCTTTTAGTTCCATTCCAACGCATTTACTGTTATTAATTTTCTTACGTAGGGGTAGCCTACATCCTCTTTCTCCCCCCTCCCCTCCCCCCCTCACACACACTTCTTTCTGTTATTTCGTACTCACGGTATTTCTTATATGAACATCTCCATGGGCGTAGATTTAAAATTTTTATCTAACCAGTATATCTTGTAACTAGTAACAGAGCTAGAGAATTTCTAGCGGAAAGAAAATAGCGCATACTCCGGCCTGCAGCCTATTTTTACTGAATCGTCTCCTAAAAAATTGATACGCCAACTTTCTGAAACACTGGGAGCCTACATGTAACGACCTAGTAGTAAGGTTTTGTCTAGTGGCCACGTAGAAAGAAAAGATTACATATTCCACCATTCTGTTTTTTTTTTCCACCTTTACCACTTGTCCGGTTCCCATGGTGAAAAGCCAGAACACAGCTAGCTGCCATTAATACTAGGAGAACCAGATTTAACAACACCAAACTAAGGCCGGACGAACTCTGAGACTAAAGTACTATTAAGTTACTCTTTCGCCGCATGTCCCAGAGGAAAGACAGGCAAACTTACCATAAGCGGAAAATTCCGGTTTAAACTAAAATATGTTTAGATCAGCTGTTTCGTAGCTTATCTACAAAACAGATAATTTTTTTTAAAATATCGCCTTCATTGCAATGTGAAGAGCAGTAAATCAACGTAATTAGACCTACATATAATTAATGAAAATAATTACTTCTTTAATTTCAGAAAATTTGAAAAGATTTTTGCGGCGATTAGAGAAGCGACAGGGCAGTTGCCCCAAGAAGTGCCGGCGGAAGCTTGTTGAGAACGCCATCAAAAAAATGCCGGTCAAAACTCTGGACTTAAAGAAAAAGAAATGCGCTGCCTAAGTCATTGGTCCTCGACAGCAGCACAATCATAAGTCACCTGAGACATGCTGACTTGAGGTGGTTTGTCAAAGAGATTTATGACTTCATTGACACATTGTCCAATTCTGAGTCAACTGTTGGAGTGAACTATTGAAAACAAACAACAACGTAGGTAAAATTAAAAAAAAAACTAAGTGAAATTGAAAGAGATTTTACAGTGAATGAACAAACTGTTTTCGACGTGTTTTAAAAATACTGCCGTTATTTAAATATATAAACAGTGGCGGAGCTAGGAGGTGTGGAGGGGGGTGCTAGCCCCATCGCCTGAAATGTGTTGCAAGATTTTTGAAAAAAAAAAATGTGATTTTTACTTTTATTGCTTAAACAATCATACTTTTGTTAATCAACAATATATTGATTGTATTTGTGATTTCATGGAGTGATGATGGAATATGAACATGTTATAATGAACTCGCCTATATTATACTAAAGCCTTGATCTGAACAGCAAATGGATAGTGACCTTTCTAAAGATTTAGATCTGAACAGCAAATGGATAGTGACCTTTCTAAAGATTTAGGTCTGAACAGCAAATGGTTAGTGACATTTCTAAAGATATAGGTCTGAACAGCAAATGGATAGTGACCTTTCTAAAGATCTAGGTCTGAACAGCAAATGGATAGTGACCTTTCTAAAGATATAGGTCTGAACAGCAAATGGATAGTGACCTTTCTAAAGATATAGGTCTGAACAGCAAATGGATAGTGACCTTTCTAAAGATTTAGATCTGAACAGCAAATGGATAGTGACCTTTCTAAAGATTTAGGTCTGAACAGCAAATGGATAGTGACCTTTCTAAAGATTTACTTCTTTTGAAGTACCTTTCAGTGGCTTTTAAAAGCAAGCTTGAGTTGTATGAATTTGTTTCAATATTGAACAAGCTATTACCTCGTTGTGTATAGATTGTTGGTTTTTTTTAATTGTTTTGGAGCGCGCGACCTTCACCTTTAAACTGTGAAAGGAAACGAACAATATATTTCTCGCTAGTTTGTGGCTGTGGTGGAGCGATTCCACATAATGGAACAGTGGATTGGTGGATAGTGGATTCTACTTCAAATGACAGTGGATTCTACTTCAAATGACAGTGGATTCTACTTCAAATGACAGTAGATTCACGGACTATGGAGAAACGTGAATACCCGTTCTGTTATTTTATTTCCTGAATTAAATATATTGTTATCGAACGTTGGAAAAAAAAAACAGATTGTGTCGGATTTTGTTGGTCGTTATACCCAGGAAAATATTGTCTTACATATTATTATAATAAAATTTTATTTAACTAAGTGGCATTTGTGTTTGTTATCTTGAATGGACGTGCCTAACAATGGCCTAATATCACATGTGCTTTTTAAACTTGATTCGAATACCTGGTAACATAGCTCTAACCCTAACACATACATTGGGGAGAGGGTGTCGTTACTTCACATTATATGGGGGGGGGGGGTACTTCAAATACAAATGAGAGTAGTAATTCAGATATACATATGGGTGTTACTTCCCATACACATGGGGCAGTGTTTCTTTCAGACTTTTTTTTTCCTCCTGAGGGATATTTGATATTTTATTTTATTTTTTTTTTGGGGGGCGGACACTGGTAAAGTATATATTTTCTATATAAATTCTATTTCATTGGAAGAGATGCATGGAAAAATCTCTGCATGGTAGTGTTTAACACACATCTCTGGGTGTTACTTCACATACACATTGGGATGTTATTTCACCTATGGGAGTATTACTTCACTTATTTCACACATGTGGTTGTTGTTACTTCACATACAATGGGGGTGTTACTTAAAATACACATGGGGGTGTAAGTCACACACACATTGAGGTGTTACAATCACGCTTGAATGAGATACTTCACATAAAAAGGGATGCTACTTGTCCAACTCCAGTGGACAAATATATTGAACAAGGTGGTTTAATTACTACCATAGCATAAGGAAAGTGAACTGTTTTCTTCATATAATTTATAATAAAGGGGTCAATTGTTCTTAAAATAACTATTTTTTCTGTAAATTTGTCTTCACAAAATCAAATAGGTGGTTATTTCTATATAAATAAGGTGTGATTGAAAACTATTTTTAGCCTACTGAGAACTACATATTGAAAAAAATTCAATACAGCAGTATGAGTAAGACATAATTTGATGTAAATTAGTAACTGTTTATGTAACAAGTGATGGGGGGGGGGGGGGGGGGGAAGGAGAAACTAGCAGCTATTGATCAGTAGGTCTGACAGTTCTCCTCAATAGGTTGGCAGTCCTTAAAATCAGATACCTTCTGCCTCAGCTACCACATCTGGTTTTAAAGGGACCTAGACAATACCAGTGGAGTAAGAATTGTCTTTCCATCTGTCAAGTGCTGGTTCACCATTAGTCTGTTGATGTTTTCTGTGACAACCATCATTAAGTTACTGGTAGTGGTCAAGTTACCTTGTGACCACCCTCGTTAAGTTACTGACTGGTAGTGTTCAAGTTACCTTGTGACAACCATCGCTAAGTGACTGGTAGTGTTCAAGTTACCTTGTGACTGACACCACTATACAGAAACAAACTACCACAATTTGAATGGTGTAGTGTCATCAAATATTTATTAGTTCTTTTCAATCTGTTAAGTTAAATCTTCATCCTGGTTTTTTTCAAAGACAATACAAATTTTAACAAAACAAGAATGTAGTTTTAAATTATTCTTTATTTCCTTAAAACCGTGTGTGTAATGATGCATAAAACTGCGCCAGTATCCGCAAAGCTAACACTAAGATTTCAGCAAACAAAGAAAACTCATACAGCCAAAAAATTAAGCACTAATCACCTCTTAGATAATTACTGTGGGTCACATGACCACTCAACAGGACAAGCCGGGACCTGCAAGCAGGACTTGTGTGTCCATTTGTATAACAAAAACTGGTCTTATACTTTGTTACCAGCCACAGACTGAGCGCCAAGAATGCATCTTTTAAGTACATCAAGTCTCAACAGTTCTAAGAATTCTTCCCTTTAATCTGGTATTTAGTCAATGTACAATCAGGTCAATTTTTTTAAAATCTCACAGATTTCCTGGACTTGCATGAACAAACAAATATTATGATAGCGTATTTGGTCAACAATCAAACATAATATGAACATATAATGTACAATTTAAAAAAAAAAAAACTTGCCACACCAAGACAGGTTGATATTTGGCATGTAACAGATTTCATTATTCTCAACTTAGTACATGAAAATAAGAAACTTTACTTAAAGTAGAATTTCTCCTAATTAGGTATTTACTGGATTAATTCCCTTACAAAAATCTCTAGGAAATAAAGTTTTAAAAGCATGCTTTGTTTTTGATAAATTTGAAGCTAATGATTATTTAAATCTAAGCCAAAAACAAATATTGAGTTACATAAAAAAATCTGAATAAAAACCATTAAAATTCATGTTTTTACATCAATCCAGGTTAACCAGACATAACATAATTGAAGACGAATTTGGCAACAGGACTAATTTCAAAATTAATTAAATAATTTCATGATTAGATTGGACTGACACAAACAAACAAAAAATAAAACAAATTTTAAATACTCCAAAGTAAAAAATACACACATGATAATTGAATCTCTGTATATTGGTTAATAAATGTAATAATTAATTTTAATATAATTACAAAAGTTGTAGTAATAGCTACATTTCCCGGATAGCTATTTATACAATCTTTCTGTCAACTTTTTCAAGTGATGAGCAATCAGATATGGAGTGGATTATAGAAAGGCTTTAATCAAAGATATAGTCACAACCTTCTATGCATTAATGTAATACAGTTACAAGGAGTTTCATGGCTCTTAGCTCATGTGGCAAGACTATACCTCAAGGTAATTAGGTGATACAGCATATTTCCATGTATACGCAGCATACCTCATCTACTGGAGGTGATACAGCATCCTGAAGCAATAGGTGATACATTATACTTATGGAATTGGAGGTGATACAGTATACCTCTGTATGAAAGGTGATGTAGCAAACCTCTGAATAAAAGGCGACACATCCTACCCTACATCTGGATAAAAGGTGACACATCCTACCCTACCTCTGGATAAAAGGTGACACATCCTACCCTATGTAAAGCAAGTGACACACAATCGCTCTAGGTAATAGTGGTACGGTATAAATATACCTCCTAAGACAGCTATCATATTAAAGGTGTCACAGCATAGTTCATGTATTAGGTGACATTGCACATTTCTGTATCACAGTACACCTCTGATGTGTAAGGTGACTCATGCCACAAGACACCTGCCTCAGATATTCAATCTGACAAACTATAGCTCACCTAAAGAGGTGTAGCCTCCATTACATAAATGTAATCATAGAAGCAGGTGCCCCAGAACCAAACCAATGCACAGGTTTTCACCTAGCTACCGCAGAGCTACATCATAATTACTGTTCCACCTTGTTTTGCCACTCTTAAAAACTACTATTCTCAAATTTCATGAAACAAAACAAAACTGTATTAATCATAGTGAACTTGTGCTTCATGTATGTATAATCAAACACAGATTATAGTAACCAAGACTCACTCAAACAAGGGTAAACTGTCAACATAACATAGTACATCATAGTTCTTGTTAGAATACATGGATTAATATCACAATGTTAGCACAAAGTTTAAAAAAACAAACATCCCATCTATGAAACGAACATGACCAGTTTAGTTATAAACTTAAAGAGCAAGAAAAAAAAAATCAATCAACTTAAAATTTTAAGCTCATAGTGTAAAATGTTTTTTTTTTTCAAACAAGCGGTCAATTAATTTTAACAAATGTGATAGAGCTTAGGACAAACTATACCACAGGTTTGTCTGGAGATTGTCTAGTGCAGGATGGCATTTCCTCCAGAGCGGGCCATCTGCTGGGGTAACTGACCATCCAGGCTGAGGGGGCCTGGACCAAGGCAGTGGATGGACGGCGGCCTACGCTGTGCTCGTTAGAGATGATTCAACATAGCTGGATGTTTGATGTCTACAGGCAATGGTCAGAATTTGCTATACCTAATACTAAATGCACCTCATGTGGCTGGGGGGTGCTGGGCAGCTTGTGGGGCTGGGTGGCTGGTTGGGGGGTGGCTCACTTGTGAAGCTGGAGCCGGGTGGACCGGCTGCTGTACGGCTGGCTGGACATGGGCCTGTGGCGCAACCGCCGGCTGGGTGCTTGCTTGCAGGGGGATCTGCGGAGCCTGGGTCCCTGCTGTGGCGGGGGCGGGTAGGCCGACTGTGGGCGGAGCCTGGGTGACCCGGGGCAGCAGCAATTTGTTCAAGGTCTCAGGCTTGGCCTCAGCTCTCAGCACTGTGTTCTCATATTCCAGCTGGCCGATTCTCTCCATCATTTCACCAATCTGTTGCTTCAATATTTCCACCTCTTCACGGACAGCATACATCAAGTGCCTTTTCACCAAGTCCTGAAAAGATACAAATATATAAAAACATAAGTAAATGAGAGGTGAAGAATTCAACTTTAAAATCAACTGATTAAAACACAATATATTCATAAACAGGAATATGAATTACCATAAAGGAAAAATGTATAATAACAGAAGAAAAATTGTACACAAAAAAATGACCAAATTAATACAGAATATAGTGAAAAAAAAATCAAGCTCTCAGGAAAAGAATTTCAAATAAGGTTGTTTCATACCAATTAGAACCAAGGGCCAACAGAAAAAGATAGATTTAAGAATGTACTGTAAGATTCAGGCAAAGAGATCAAAATGTCATTGGATTTTTATAAAAGTAGATATTAGGCTTATCCTTATTTGTTTATATGGATCTAGGTATAGGGATGTAGAAACAAAATAAGTGATAAGGAACATACTGTCACAAAGATTATACTTGAGCAAAACTTACCATTTTCTTAAGAAATAAATTTTTATCTGAGGTAGATGAGGTGTTCATGATTGGGCAAACTTTAAACATGGAAGAATTTTGTTTTACTTTATATATTCCCTAATGAGAAGCACCTCATTAGATCTAGAAATATCTTGATCTAGAATCTAGATTTAATATTAGAATCCTTGAGGACAGATGAAGCGTGCAACAAAAAAAACTTGTTTGCACAATCAATGTGGGTCAGTTGATTCAGCTGGGCGGGCTGATGAAGAAATTTTATTTCCTTTGAAGTACCACAGACCTAATACTGGTGGTCATATTTAACTTCTTTTTAAAACAGTAGATCTATATTTGTGTCTCTGTTCTTTGTTCTTTACTGAAGAAAAGCCCAATTTCAGGCCAAGTTCAAAGCTGATGACTAAAACACAACCATTTCCTCGCTTCACCTGTTACTGCTCTGTAAACTAGGTAGGTAGCTACTAAACCAAATGTAGGTTACCCCGCACTCTATGACCTTTGCTGTAGGTATTAATAAACAATAAAGACTCCTCTCCCCCAAATCCAAAATAGAATCTGGTAATGGATTTTTTTTTAATAGCTTCAAAGGAAAGGGCTAGGTTTGAAATAGCTGCAAGAGGTTAGGATATCTATCATCGCATATAAAACTTGACAGCTTCCTTATAATCTTGCAAATGAAAAGATTTTTTGAACGCGAATGCCCAAATCCAGGATGATGTTTTTCTCTACGGTTGCAGTAGCATACGATTATAAAATGGAAATGAGACAGGAATCGAGTAGTACAGCCACTCAACTGCACCGCAACTTCAGTTCACCACACCGACGCGCCTGATTAATCAACGAAAATTAACAGAGCGGCAAATAAACCGCTTTATCTAGTCCTTTAACACACCAAGCATACGTTACACTTTTTGAATTCGTAACAGGTTAACAGTAAACAGATGAAAAAGCCTGCCGACAAGCTAGCACACGACACACACAGCAGCAATTTTAGCTGGGTTAGGACAGACTGGCCTCGACTAGTTTGATCCGACCTATCGAATTTGCATGCGGCACACAACCTACGGGGTTATACCGCTTGAAGCCCGCTAGCTTTTTTCTAGTCGAGCGGTAGAGGGCCGGAAGAGGAGGGGAGAGGAGGGTGAAGAAAACCCTTTGAGATCGATAAACTCCTCGCGTGACTCATGACAAGCGCGGAGGAAATTCCCTGCAAAACAAGTCGGTCAATGAGCAAAACAAGAAAGAAACGGCGGATTTCATCAGCCGGCTTTTGTCATGTGACCCAGTATGAATGGACCAATTGTATTGCGTGTAATATCACTGCATGCAGGCTTAGTGTGAGAACGCTAGTCTTTGCAGTGGTTTTGATATATTATAAACTTAACCAAGCAGATCAATGGCAGTATGTAGTAAAGTTATAAAACAAAATGTCGGTACTAACACGACAGAAAACAAAATGGGGTCTAGGCGTTTTACTTTGTATTGCTGACAAGGGGGGGGGGGGGGGGGGGGGGTGTCAGGATTCGGTTTTGTTGAAGTATACACTAGTCATAGCAGCTTTATCAGTATCATAACCGTACACACAAATTAAAAAAAAAAAAAAAAAAAACAATACATTTTTTTAAAATTGTTTTCTAAAATCGACTTTCGGTGTACGCATATTTTCTAAAATTGATCTTCGGTGAATGGATATTTCTATGAAAACAAAAAAAAAAAACATTGAAAAAAAATGTTTTTAAACCTATTATTCACAAGTTAGGCTTAACCATGTTTACCCCATGCATACTTCACAATATCGCTTCACCTGTAGTCTATATATAAAAGGGTTTATTTCTAGGAAATCAAGATAGTGAATGTTTTTTTTTTTTACACCCTAAAAGCCGGCTAGCCACGTTTTCCTACAAACGTACGATAGGGAGAAGTCGCGCCTCGTGACTGCCAGTACTTCGTCACCACCAGCAGATGTAGCTACGTCACAAAGAATGGGTGGGGAAGAACACAGGAGCTAAATACTTAGTCCCGCCCAGTGATCTAAAAATAGCTTAATTTAAGCAAACAATGAGTTTACTATAAAATTTATCTGGCCAATGTTGTGTCTTCACCAAAATAAAAAAAAAATTCAACTAAGACAAGACAATTTAGTACTTTACAATAAATACAACTAGAAAATCTATTTCATAAGCAAACGTATTTTCGAAAATGTAAATCTAAACAAGGCTAGACAGTAGACTGTAGGCTTAGATGTAAGAAAAAGGGTGAGTCTGTTTACTACCGAACCACGCAGGCAACCTACGAGTTCGTTGGGCGGCTTTAGGGCACTAACCATATAAGGCGGCAATGGAACGTACGACACGTAACATGGCGGTAGGGACGGCTATTTTTAGCAACAACCCAAACACGCATCAGTGACCCCGCGTAACAGCAACGCGGCATAATAATATTATGAACAGCGAGAGGCGAAGGGGCTTGCTTAGCAAGTAGGTACGAACTTTGTTTCAAGGCAAATTGAATAATGAGGCACAGGGTTGGTTGGCCGGATGCTTCGTGTGTTCAAGTAATGAATAATTCAGCGAGAGGAATTTTAAGCAGGTTTATTCGGTGTAGCAAGATTTAAAGACATTTGACGACGTGGTGAAAAAAAAAAAAAGAACATGCAGCTAAAGGAAATGTAAACAGCTGAAATATTTGCCCACAAAGTGCTTCACAGTGACCCGATACTTTGGTATAAAAACATACCCATCTCAGCAAAAATAGTACGGGTCTTTGCAGCTGGTATATGTAACAATTTCCAACGGTGCATTCAAGACCACAGGAATAGAGACTGCTTTTATTAACCTTCATCAATTAGGTGGTGTCAACCAACAGATGACCTAGATTTACGGCACAAGACGTGTTAGTGTGACTAAGATCTTGATAATCTCATGTTGAGCCCCCCCCCCCTTCTCTTAACTTTCAGATATCGGCATACATTTTATGTGGTGTGATCTGAAGTACCAATATATTTACAAGATAAGCGCTGAGCAATTTGGTATTTAAAAAAAAAGTGTGAATAAAGAAATACGATTCTTAAACCGAAATAAAGCCGCCATTGAGATATGGTTGATTACATTTTAAAAACGAGATTTAGTTTTAAAGTTGGGCTTACACACACGTTAGTTGTTAGGGCTTAGGCTTCATCAATGAAGCACATTCAAGCAAAAGTTAACTTACTATTTTTTTTTCTAGCTATGATTTCACAGGAAACAACTTCAAAAGTAAACACAAAGTTATAAAAAAAACAATCTTCATACGTTCCACATTGACTATTTATAACCCCAGCAACAAATAAACATCCGTGCAGCTGTTGTTAACGACCCACACCCAAACTTTCACCACATGCCTATAAGAGCTGACATGCTATTCGATGGCTTACGTTAAATCCTACAAGTACACCACATGACCTGGTGGGGGGCAATAGGGTCTACAGTACTGAACATATTCCCCCACAATGCATTCCGACAAATGTAGAAAAACCTGTTGTTGAGGACAGACCCCCACAATACATAGACCTGTGTTGGAGCTGACACGTTGTAACGGTTCTCTCTCCCCCCCCCCCTCCCCCAACCCTTATCTTAACCTGACTGTTGTGGCAACACTGAGTCAGGAGACTAAAAATAAAACTTCCGACAGATGTATGACAGCGATCTGCTCATTAATCAACCCCCCAACCCTAATTGTACGGGAAGTGGGAATAAATAGAAAAGGTTGACATAACCTCGTGTATAGCGAAAAAAATTATAATACCAAATTTCCTTAAAGCCTACAACATGGGCGTTGTAAGGACATCCTGTTTTTTAATTAGCAGTAAAAAAAAATGAGTTTAAAAAACGATAACTCAACATCGAGATCAATAACAACTAAGACCAGAGAAACAAGTTCCACAACAATTCTGTTTATGAGAAGAAGTGGGTAGCGGTGTGTTGATAAAATAAAAAGACGGGAACTTTGAAAGCCGGAGTTGATGAGCTGTGAAGGTAAATAATTAATAACTCGAGCTGAATACATTTTGTATGAGGCGGACACGGGTAGCGCAGCTCAGCAACTGCGTCGCAGGATTGGCCCGATCAATGTGAGCTAGGGTCAGGTCACAGGTTGGTTAACCCTTGCAGGTTAGGTTCACCGGTAACTCGTTTAATTAGGGTTAGCAGATTTGGGCCATCATTAACTCCATCTTTTGATCATGTCATAGATCAGTTACGGATATCCCTTTCAAGTAAGTTTTGCCGTCACGGATTAGCTGAGTCAGGGGTCAAAGTCAGTAAAGTAATTCGGTTCTAGTTATGTTATGATTAGAGAAAAAGATAAGTCAGTAAAGTAATTCGGTTCTAGTTATGTTATGATTGGAGAAAAAGATAAGTCAGTAAAGTAATTCGGTTCTAGTTATGTTACGATTAGAGAAAAAGATAAGTCAGTAAAGTAATTCGGTTCTAGTTGTTATGATTAGAGAAAAAGATAAGTCAGTAAAGTAATTCGGTTCTAGTTATGTTATGATTAGAGAAAAAGATAAGTCAGTAAA